GACAGTAAAGCACCCATTAATGGTGAGAAGCGTCGGTTACGTTTAGCCGGAGGCGCCGATAGAACCGATGAGGCAAAAGCAGAAGAAATCGATGATAGCACAGAAACCCTAAAGAAGGTGGGCCGCCTTTAGAACATAAAGTTTGAGGCCCAACATCAAATCTTTTGATCAGATACAATATGACCAATCGACAAAATCAGGTTATGTTTAACCAAATGCCAAAGAACCAAACGACCAAATCCGGTACAATTTAATTTTGGGTGCTGACATGGCATTTTTTGCCCCATGCTAAAATCTGATGTGGAGGGTCTAAGAAGAGACAAAACCTAGCTTTATTATATAAGATATGATATGTAAGGTTCCAAATTTAGAAATTTTAATTTAGTATATTTGTAAACAATAACTTTTTGAAAGTCATTTTATAACAAACAAAATGTATTAAAAGTTTCAGATTATTTTCATTCACATTAGACTTCCAAAACACTAGGGACGACCCTAGCTTTAGGTTTGGTGCAATGACCGGTGCTGTAGAAGTTTACGTACGTACCGGGCTCAGTCTCTCAAGAGTCTAATTCTCTTTAAAGGTGTTTTGTTTTCTTCTATGGTATTGTCTTTGGGTACACCAGCATTTTTTGTCTTTTATCAAGACGACACAAGACCTAGAGTAATTGTCTTTTGACTTACGGCGATTTCACATTACACCGAGAAGAGCGGAAACCGAATACTATATTTCCACATTTAGTTTTCTTGGTATATAAACGTTTCATTACGTATCATATATATGCATGTATCACATCAATTATCATATGTTTACCGATATATTCGGTGAAGTTTATATGTAAATTGTGTTTAGCTCGAATTAGTATGGAAACTGAGTTATAGGGGAAATTGTACTGTGTTTCAAGAATTACTGGATATGTCTAAATCTAGAAACTACCACAAAGGTTAAACACGAAATAATAAAAAATGTGTATAGAAGTAGTATTTGTTAAATTAATCAATATTTAAGGTTAAAAATGAAATAATAAATAGCTGATAGAAATTATATAA